GAGCGGGCCTGATGGCCCGAGTCTCGCCACGTAAAATAAGGCAAATTCAATTCAATTCAATTCAACGCTTTCAAACAAACATTCGAAGTTCATTCCGTAACCAAAGGATAAGTCTAGAGTTCTCTTTCACACCCAAGCCATAACCCCCACACCCCACGTATTGCAAGCGGCCCGTAGTACTCGCCCGTCTATCTACCGCCCTCACTCAAGATAACTGACGGGCAGCGGAAAGGTCTGGAGATAGCCTCGCGGTTAACAACCACACGTTTGGCGATATGGGTACACTTACTTGTGGCCACATTTCCCACAATTGTTCGAGGCTTTTTCTTGTGTTCAACGCCAGATGTGATGTGACGTGAGGTTAAGATCCGAAACAATAAGTTTTAATACCGCATTTGGTTCTTTATATTTTTGGGCGATAATAATGTACTAGTAATCAATACGGGATACCGCAAAAGTCTTAGAAATATTTATCGGTCAGAACTGCAAGTCAGAAAAACTAATATTGTCACAGAATGGCTCAGACCTTCTCGTATTAGTTTTCTAATTTCGTTGATCTGGGCTACAATACCTTTTCGATTTTGCCTTTGGTGTAATAAGATATTTCTTGCAGTGTGGTTTCTTATTGCCCCACCCTCTTCCTCTGTTGGATCTAGGGGGGCATGGGGGCCATGCCACCCACCAAAAGACCTAGAGTTTTCGTTTACATTCCTTGATTTGGAAAATTTGATTTAATTATGTATGTTCGACTTATGTAATTAAGTAATAATATTGAATAGTATATCTACAGTACATAAATATTATACAATATAATAACGAATGTGTTTATTATTTAACAAAAATCTACGATTCCCCCCCCCCAAAAAAAAAACAACAAATTATCGACGGTATCTGCCCCTGTTCTCCTCCCAGACACCATCTTTTGGCGCCAAAAAACACATTTTTCACATCTCAATTTTTCGGTCAGAAATCGTTTAAAGCAATTGTACTCACAATTGCAATTATATACAAGCAATGCCTTAATTAACGTCGTGAGAAATATGTTTTTAAAAATGGCATTTATGTAATTTTTGAGACGTGGCAAAAAAAATCAATGTCTTGTTATTCAGTTAATTTAGCATTTTTATTTATTTATCAATATCCCATCAAAACGTTTAAAGAATAAAATTGGAGCAGTGTTGGAGAAACTATCGTTTTAAAACTAACCATATTCAACTCAAAATTGAGTCAACACTTAAAAAATTGAAATAATGAATATACCAATAATTAAAGAACCAATTACCGAAGACTTTCAATTATGGAAGATTTTCAATACGTAGTTGCTACAAGACGCCGAAAAAATTCAATTTTAGAAAATTTTGAAAATTATGAGATAATACTAAAATTAGGGATTAATACTAAAATTAGGAGTTAATACTAAAATTAGGAGTTAATACTAAAATTCGGACCAACGTTATCTTTTGTAGTGCATTTTACTCTAATATTAAAGAAATCTAAAGAAAGAAATTTTATGAAACTGAGATGAACTGAGAAAATCTAAAGAGAGAAATTTAATGAAACATTTTGAGCCATTTTTGAGAAAATTATGAAAATATCCCACGACCTTCAAGTAAAGTTCTCACAAAATTTAAAGACTTTTTTTCAAAATCTCGTGTGTTGTGCACTAGTATCTTCATAGATGAAATCTTTTTTTTTAATATAGCGGTTCGTTTAACCCCGCGCGGCGAGGTTGTACAGCACAACTATAAGATTTTCTCAACAAGGTGAACTCCGTTATTGGCAAAAAAATGAAACTTAATCTTACTTCAACAAATTTATCTGCTCTTTCCAACGAAACTACTACTAATTTTGGCATTTTTAGCACAGAGTACGTTATGAACACACATGTTTTGCATCGCAGTAAAGACGCCGGAATAATAGCGTTACAAAAAATTAGTAGCTTTAACATTGAATAGCTTCTTTAAAACTCTAGTAAAAATATTTAATTTGGCTCCTAACACATCAATTGTTTCTTAACATATAATTTCAAGCCCGAAGCTCTTACCATACTTCATACATTACGTTTAAAAATTGATTTTGCCAAAAACTGCCAAAATAAGGTATTTTCAACCTCGTTTTGCAGTAGCGTCTAAAAATTGTTTCAAACCCAGCTCACTAGAAAGACCAGGTTTTGAAGTTTCTAAATATATCAATTTAATTATCCATGAGAGACATACAATGTCCAAAAGTGTCCAAAGTGCAACAACGTTGACGAAAAAAATTGGTGTACAATAAAAATTCCCGGGTATATTTTGGTACAGTTTCTCCAATATTCATGAATAATAATTGAAAATTATCACATACCTCAAAATAACATTGTTTTAATGCAAATCGCAGCTCTTGGCATTTCTTTAAGAATCAAGTATAAAATCGATGGGTTTGTCATAAAGCACCAAAAGTGTGTTTTCAAACCACCTTTATAGATTAGTTCTTTTATGAAACGATATAAAACATCTCGTTGAAATAGAGCTTTTTTTCAAGTCTCTGGAACAGCGAATTTAACTACGCTGCGAAATATACCAATACGTGTAGTGCATGTTATACTTCCAGAAGTGGTGATGCTTCTCCCGTGATGAAAACATGAGGTCCAGCGCCGAACCACACGTCCGGGGACGACCTTTTCCCCTCCAAGATCGTCCCCCAGCGCCCTACGCAGGACAACGCACTTCCCACTGCTTTCCTGACCACGTGTACGGTGTGTGAGTGTGAAAGGGGGGAAAGGTGAGGAATGGGAAGAGGATGAGGAAGAAATGATAGCGCGCGCTCGGTTCGCGGCCCGTTTGTTAGGCTCCGGCATTCGCGTGGTGTGGTTGGGAGAAACCACGAAAAACTACCGATCGGATTCACTCGGCAACTAGAAATCTCCCGCCAGCTCCTGGTTGGATTCGACCCATCTAGTGTGCAACTAGTTCGAAAAATCTGACTGAAATCGAAAGAGCACAACGAGCATTAGCAGACGCTTCGTCAACCCCGGCTTTCTCCCTTCCCCCTGTTCCCACTCTGCTTGTCTTCTCTCCGACGGCCATCGCATCCAGTTTCCTCCCGAATTGATACATTGATTAGTCATTCCGGGCGCGCTAACAGCTTAGGTTCGTCCCGTACGAGTAGTCCATTAATTATCGCTGTGTCCTGCCCCTGGATGGAGAGATCAGGCACCGACTTATAGGTTGACTAGCAGGGCTTTCCACCTCCAAGAATTCCCCACCAGCGGGGCACCGCCGCCAGCCGGGACAAGCTCTAAGCTCTTGACGAGTCTCCCGGCATGCGTGGTAGTGTAGTGCACGTAAGTGTGTAAGTGTAAGGGGTGAAGAAAGAACAAGGGGAAAAAAATTCGCGCGCGATTCGTAGCCCGTTTGGTAGGGTACTGCTCCAGCATTCGCCTGGCGTTGATCTGAGAAACCACCGATCAGAGCAGCCGGCCGCTAGAATTCTCCTGCAGAAAGCGGCTGAAATCGAACCGGCTATGAAAACTACTGTCAAAAACTTCCTGCCGCCGGCCGGACTCGAATCCTAGAACCTCCCAGTCTCACAGATACTGCACTGATGCCCACCCTTTGACCACACCAACCGGTAGTTTCTTCCTCACGTTTTGTACGACCTCCTGACGACGACGAACAAGAAGAAGACGAAGACGACGAAGACCAAGACCAAGACCAAGACCAAGACCAAGACGAAGAAGAAGAAGACGAAGACGAAGACGAAGACGAAGACGAAGACGAAGACGAAGACCAAGACCAAGACGAAGAAGACGACCAAGACCAAGACGAAGACGAAGACGAAGACGAAGACGAAGACCAAGACCAAGACGAAGACCAAGACCAAGACGAAGACGAAGACGAAGACCAAGACCAAGACGAAGAAGAAGACCAAGACCAAGACGAAGACGAAGACGAAGACGAAGACGAAGACGAAGACCAAGACCAAGACCAAGACGAAGAAGAAGACCAAGACCAAGACCAAGACGAAGACGAAGACGAAGACGACGAAGACGACGACGACGAAGACCAAGACCAAGACGAAGACGAAGAAGAAGACCAAGACAAAGACGAAGATGAAGAAGAAGACGAAGACGAATAAAAAGAAGAAGAAGAAGAAGAAGTCCGATTCGCACCCTGCCGGGCGGCACAGCTCGGCGCGGGGCGCTATCACCATCGCTGTGTGTGTCAGGGGGGGGGGAGGCTTATCTACCGGGCCATACGAGGCGCTATCGCCCCCGCTCGCCTACGACGGCGGAGGCGACGGCAGCGCGCGGCGAGCGACGGCCAGGTGCCAGCGCTCGAGTGCACTGCACACAGCAATCGCCCCGCGGCGCCAGCTGCGCCGCCCACGCAAATGGACGACGCAGTGACGCACGACCCCCGACACCGCCCCTCCAGAAGAGCTTCGGAAAGTCGCCACACGCCACGCTTTCGGCCAAACAGCAGGTGTACACGCACCGCAGCTGATAACGCCAGTGTTTGCAGTTTTAAAAGACACCAGAAAATCGATTTTTTTGGGGAGGGTTGGGGGGAGAGGGGGTTTAGATTACAGGCCACTCCCTGGAGATTAACCGGTGTGGCCGCGTCGGGGGATCTATCTGCTTGCGAAAAAGCCCTCTTGAAAGGCTAATTTATTAATATTTTACCGATTTTCACCCCCCTAAACAAAAGCCATGCTACGCTTCAAGGTTCGCACAGTTTGCGGATCGTTATCGAATTTTCTGAATTCATTAGTGATTTCGGGCGCGTGAACGGCTAATGACATCAATCCCGAAAGTGTAGTGCATACGTTTTCCTCACGACGTTGCGGAGATCTTGCCCCTCTGAACGGCCAGATCCCGCACCGACCTACCGTCGGCTAGCGGGATTTTCCCCCAACCAGGTATCTCCCACGAGCGAGGCACCGCCCCACCCGCGACAAGCACTAAGCTCCCGACTGGTCTCCCGGCATGTGTGGTAGTGTAGTGCGTGTGAGTGAGTGTAAGAGAGGGCTGAGCAGAAAACAGGGAACAGGAAGTGAAGACTGCGCGCTGTCCATGTGTTAGGGTACTGCTCCCACATTCGCCTGGTGTTCATTGGAGAAGCCACGGGAACCTACCGACCAGAGCAGTCGGTCGCTAGGATTCTCCTTCACACAGCCACTGATCTCGATCTAACTATCGAACATCCTACCACCGTCGGAAGTCGAACCTGGCACATCCCGGTCAGAGGCAACGCAGTGACTGACATCAGTTGATGCCCTAAAGCAACTAAAACAATTTCTTTGAATTAATAGGGGGAGGGTACATTTTACATCATTTGTTTAGTGACAATGTACAATGAAGTATTGTTTCACAAAGTTCCGAAAATCGAATTGTCATACTGTACTACGGAGTCCCACAAACCGCTATATCTCAAAACCCATTTCACGAATAAAGCACAACTCCAAAGACGTTTCTTTAAGATATGTGGGACTCGGTACAGAACATTTCATCAAAATGTGATATGCAATCGCGGGTTACTTTTCTAAAATTTGCTTCAAATAACAACTTTTATATTTCCAGAGCAACTTTTTTACTTTACATATTCAAACAGTGCACCCTAACTCAGAAACGATACGAAATATCAAAAAGTGTGCGAGAGCATGTGTGCCAAAATTTGATATATTCTGCCATCTTTTATGGCCTCTCAAGCTACGCCGGAGCGCATTTGGTGTCACCCTGCATTTTTACATACGCTGTCGTAATCAAGAATCAAGGAAAGTGAAAGCGCGTCCGAAAGGTTTGGCGGCCTCGTGCGTCACTACGACTGCCACTGCTCCAAGTAATAAAACATAACTTCGGTAAAATTTGTGGTACTAAAAACGGCTCATATTCTCTCGCAATTTTCGAACATTAGCAATTTGCCAGCGTGGCTATCCGGATTCCATAACGACGCTCTGTAAACTCACGGAGGTTAAGCGAATGCGAGACATCGCGGGTTCCTGGATGGGTAACGTCTAGGAACCCCGGGATCTAACGCCTCAGAGACCCTGATCGAAGGGATAAAATGCACACACACTGACTGCGATGTGACGAGACTCGACAAAAATAATAACGGACGATTACTCTACGACAGGCGCTCAACGCCCAACAAGGATTCAGAGAAGCGTCGAAGACCCAACATTTTTTTAGTCGAAAATTCAGAAAGTTTAACAAAAATTAGACGCACTATTTTTTAAGACTCTCTATTAGAAATAAAGAAAAAATTGAGGCAGTTTTTTTTGATATTTTTTTTAAAAATTGCAGTAACTTTAATCAGAAATTACAAGAAAACGACTAGTTTTTCAAAAAAATGTGATTACAATAATTATAGATCTAGTTGTTCGAACTGATTTAATTTAAGACTTAAAATCTCTACTATCAACGTCGTACTTTTGCAGTGTTATTTTTTGCAAATTTCCAAAATACAGAGTTTGATTTTGCGATGTGCACCGGTTGCGGAAACGAGACAAGCACCATTTTTTTACCACACCTTTACAACGTACAAGGAAAAAATGGAGTCTTTTTTATTATATAATTGTTTAAAAATTGCTTACATTTCACGCAACATTACGTGAATGTTACCCATATTTTCTGAAAATTATACTTCACCATATTTCAAGATGTCATTCAACAAGAATTTATTAAGAAAAAAAACTCTATTTCCAGTATTGGAGTGGTAGAAAGTTGCCAAAAAATTTCAAAATTTGTCAATTCTCGAAAAAACAGGAACTTCCACGAAAATGAGATCCGCGCTGTTCTTTTAAATGTTCCAAGGAATCCAAGGCCAATGGTTCAAAAAAGCATTGAAACCATTCTTGAGAAAATTTCGAAAATTTTATTGAGTCTACACGTATAAGTACTGCAAAAATATCGATACATCCGTTTCAAACACGCAGGGCATCTACTTCCTCCAGATCAATGAGGGGATATACATATTCAAGAAACCTGTCTGAACAGCTTAGGCGCTAGTGCAGACTACAGACGGACACGACTGACAGAACAACGCCGCCTTGTAAACTGTTCTGTTTATTTCATGTGATTCGTGAAATATGAAAGTTTTTGTTTCTATGGTTATACTCCTACGTAGTTTGTTAACTCGCAGGGATAAAAGTGTTTGATACATATTACAAATATTGTTTTGTTTCATTCAAAGTTTTAAATGAGTATTCAATGTTGTTGGGTTTTTTTGCCGCCTTGCTTCAAAGCACCTCTCGAACCAGGATCACGACGGTGCACTGCGCTGGGGACTATTCTGATCACCACAGATGTAGAAACAGTTTCCTTCTGCGTGCCTGTGCAGATAAGGGCCAGAACAGTGTTCGAAAAGAACTACGCATATGTTCGTTCCTGGGATATGTTGTCTTTTCGTAAATTTCCCTTGTCACTAACGTTATAAACTTTCAAGACAGACTGTGAAGAATAAAATAAAGACATAAAAATGAGATTAAAAAAAGAAGTGTCATTCGAAACTTTCAAAACAGACTGTGAAGAATAAAATAAAGACATAAAAATAAGATTAAAAAATGAAGTGCCATTCACTTCATTGTTTTCATTGAAACATCAATCAAAACATCAGGCACATCAACTGCTATGGTCACGGAGCAGTGAATGTACTTAACGACTGGAGATGGCAGGGTTCCTACCCCGCTAGGCAATGAGATCCGGCTCCGAGCTACACGCCGGTTTGCAGGGATGTCCCCTTCCAGGTATTCCCCCAACCAGGACAAGCTCCGAGCTCTCGACCGGCCTCTCCACGTGTGTGGTGGTGTAGCGCGGGAAAAGCTATATGCGAGGGGGGGGGGAGATTTAGAGCAAGACAAAGGAAAGATCGCACGCAGTCCATGGCCCGTTTGTTAGGGTATTGCTCCGGCATTCGACTGGTGTTGATCCACGAAACCACGGAAAAGTACCGATCAGAGCAGCCGGCCGCTAGACTTCTCCTCCGGACAGCGGCTGAATACGACCTATCCATCTAGCCACGTCGAAAATCCCTCACCGTCGGAACTGCAACCCTAAGACCCTCCGGTTCAGAATAGCAGCAGAGATAGCGGCATTTGCTGGCTGTGAAGCTAACTCCAACGGCCATCGTTGTCTTTGTCCAAAGGCCATCGTTGTCTTTGTCCAGCGGCCATCGTCGTCTTTGTCCAGCGGCCATCGTTGTCTTTGTCCAACG